GTGCTAGTGACATGATAACTCCATATCGAATGGTTCGAACTGCTTCAAAAATACGGTCTTTCGATTTTTCCGCCAAATATTGGAATAAAGAAATCACTTTAGTAAATGGTAAAACCAATAATGCCTCCTCTAATTCTGAAGACCTTATTTTTTCAATAGTTCTTAGAACATATTGATCCCCAGTTAAATTGCCAAGTGCAACCAGAATAGGATTAGGCTTAGGTGGTGGCCCAGGATTTTGTCCTCGCTCTTTAAGCTGTGTTTTAAAAAAAAAATTTTTTTTATAGGCATTTATAAACTTTGAAAAAAAAAGCTCAGCGTCTCTAAAATTTGGCTATGTAAATAACCTGAACATAAGTTTCCCAAGCTGCATTATTTTCGTCAGCGATATCTAATGCTTCTATGATACGTTCTCCAGCCTTGAGTGTTTCCATAGTTTGTTTTCCAGCAGAAGTTGACTCAACATTGTCTTCGAGTGTCGCCTTTTCCATTGAGGTTGTCAAGGTCGAGTCATATGATTCCTCCAACTCTTTCTCTCGCTCTTCTTCCAAAAAAAGCTGACATTAATAATATTAATTGATAATAACATTAATAATAATTATTATTAGTAAATACTACATTATTAATTAACTAATTAGAAAATTAAGTTTGTACATTTAACGCTAAATTACCTCTTCATCAGTTTGTTCCCATGCTCTAATAGATCTATCATGAGAACCAGAAACAAGTAAATCATCTCGTCTACTTATTGCCAATGCCCATACTTCACCGTGATGTCCTTCAAGTTTTGTAATATTTTCAAACTAAAGATTTGTAATTTATAAACTAGTGTTATTTACAGCAATTATTATTTATAGTAATTTATTCTCTACAATAAATCCTACAAGTCCTACAACAAGTCTTACAACAAGTGTTACAACAAGTCTTATAACTGACCTTGTCACCGTCCCAATATTTCACCAATTTATCTTTTCCTGCTGAGAAAATATAATGTGTACCCTGAACAAATTGAACA